CGGAAGCAGCACCAGCAGCACCCGCCGCCGGCCGTCCCCGCCAACGGGCAGCAGGCCAACAGCCAGAGTGAGTCCCGGGCCCGCCGCGGGGGGCCGCCCGGCCCCGCTCCGGGTAGGCGTTGAGCGACCGCCTGCGCGTCCCGGGGCGACAGGCCCTGGCGGGAACGAGCGAAGTGTGCTCCTTCCGTGTAGAACAATACAAATCCAGGTCCTGGAGCAGACGGTGACCTGCGCTGGTCAGGTTTTCCCATTGGTGGTGGTTTGAACTGCAGCTGGGTTGGTTTTTGTTGGGTTGGGTTTTTTATTTCCTTCTGTTTAGCCTGCTCGGAGATGCGTGCGTCTCCTGGAGATGTGACTGGAATTTGCTTGCAAGTTGCTTGCGTTCCTGATACAGGGAGTGATGTCGAGGTTCCTTTTTTAACCTGAGCTTCTCAAGAATAACTCACTTAGAGTTTGGAAGTCTCTGAACCTTAAACAGTGACTCTGTAATCCTTCCAAATGAGAGGTGGCCTCATTTCTTTTTTTCCTCGACCATAACAGATGGCTTCTCAAGTGTTTATCCTTAAGTACTAGCAAAACGAATTTGCTGTCTGTAAAGTCACAGTAGGAACGTTGTACACCAATCTGCAGTCACCCATTGAGTCTAAATTTTTACATGGGGCTGACAAATTTCCACCCTTACTTAAAAATACTTGAGCATTCAAGTGCCAGGTGACATCGATGGTGGCTGTTACTTTAGTGTGTGTCCAGGTTTGTTAATAATCAGTGTGGGAGGATACAGAGGGGGTGCCTGTGAGCTGAGGCAATATGCATTAATAGCTTTTGGAGCCTTAACTGATTTCACCTCATAGTTTAGAAGTGTGGCAGCAAGGCATTGCCATTATAATTTTTAAGGGAGGAGGTGCTTTAATTACATCAGTTTGGGGTTTTTTTTAAGTTTGAAAACTTTGGCTGTTCAGAACTAAAGCGTATAGAAGTCAGGTAAACTTTGATTCCTCTATGCGTTGGGTTTTTTTCCTGTCAGAGTTGCAGATTTAACCAAACACAGAGCTGCTGGGCTCATAAAAATATCTATGTACTTTTATTAGGTGGCCCTGTTAAACAGGCTCCTTATCAGTTCATAGAAGATAAGAGACAAGGGTGGCAGACCAGTCCCATTTCCAGTCAGGTTGGAAACAATACAGCACAACTGTGTTGTTCTGTTCCCAGAAGGGGCTGCTTGTGGTCACTGTATCGCAGTCCTTTGAGTGGCTCTGCTTCAGGCAGAGCAGCTGTAGTGGTGTAACTCTGCTGTCAGTCCCTCCTGGTGGATCCACAGGCCTCACAGCTGGTCCCCAAGTTCTGACAGTGGTGTGAAGGAGTTCACAAGACAAAACACTGAAGCACCCTGACTGTGTGAAGTAGATAACTTACTCCTGTTCCACAGATACACTGTCAGGCTTCCTTTTTTTTATAGTGTTAGCCACAGAGGTGTGCTTATTCTAAACAGTTGTCCTTGCACGCATTGTGTTTGCGTGAATGGCCTTTCCTGGTTAGTGCCACGCTTTGTGGTCTGAATCAAGCCACTCGTATTTGTCACAGATACGCTGTCAGGCTTCCCCTTTTTTTATAGTGTTAGCCACAGAGGTGTGCTTATTCTAAACAGTTGTCCTTGCACGCATTGTGTTTGCGTGAATGGCCTTTCCTGGTTAGTGCCACGCTTTGTGGTCTGAATCAAGCCACTCGTATTTGTAGTTTCTTCCATGACGTTGTGTTTGCGTGAATAGCCTTTCCTGGTTAGTGCCACACTTTGTGGTCTGAATCACAGAATCACAGAACGTTAGGGATTGGAAGGGACCTCCAAAGCTCATCCAGTCCAATCCCCCTGCCGGAGCAGGAACACCCTAGGTGGCCCTGTTAAACAGGCTCCTTATCAGTTCATAGAAGATAAGAGACAAGGGTGGCAGACCAGTCCCATTTCCAGTCAGGTTGGAAACAATACAGCACAACTGTGTTGTTCTGTTCCCAGAAGGGGCTGCTTGTGGTCACTGTATCGCAGTCCTTTGAGTGGCTCTGCTTCAGGCAGAGCAGCTGTAGTGGTGTAACTCTGCTGTCAGTCCCTCCTGGTGGATCCACAGGCCTCACAGCTGGTCCCCAAGTTCTGATAGTGGTGTGAAGGAGTTCACGAGACAAAACACTGAAGCACCCTGACTGTGTGAAGTAGATAACTTACTCCTGTTCCACAGATACACTGTCAGGCTTCCTTTTTTTTATAGTGTTAGCCACAGAGGTGTGCTTATTCTAAACAGTTGTCCTTGCACGCATTGTGTTTGCGTGAATGGCCTTTCCTGGTTAGTGCCACGCTTTGTGGTCTGAATCAAGCCACTCGTATTTGTAGTTTCTTCCATGTGTGACTGTGAGGTGTGTCCTCTGCAAAGCAAAGGAGTTGCCTTCTGTGGGTTACTGTCTTGTGTGGGGAAGTTTCCATATGTAGTTAAGAAAACGGGACGCGGGAAGGTAAAGTGATGATAAAGCCACCCCTGTGTCTGGGATATAGCAGAGCTTGCAGGGTCATGCTGGATTCTTGCTGAATTAAGAGTCAGAGATCGTATGTGCATGTGGGGATTTGAGAATGTTCCTATAGTCTGTCCTGTTTTATCAGCGCTATGTACAGCATTACTTACTGAATATAGGGTTTTGTCATGAACCTTGTAATTTACTGGGGTTTCGCCTATATGGCTGGGTTTGGGGGCGGGTTTGGTTTGGGGGTTTTTTCTGTATTTTCACCATTCCAGCCTTCTCTTCAGCTTGAAACCCAAGACTAGAACCCAAATTCCATCTTGCAGAATGACAACCATCTCAAATGTTACCTGGCTGTGCAAAATTTCCCTCTTGTTTGCATATTTTTCTAGATATCTGGAGTTGGGTGGTTTTTTCCCAGTAGAAATCTGGTTGCTGGCCGTACTGGCTTTTCTCTCACTATTCAGGCTGTAATAGCAAAATCCTGTATTGTGGCTACAGTTGATTTGGTTGCAGGCCAGTCATCCTGATATCCAAAAGGTGAGGTAAATCTCTCCTGTTATTCCAGGCTGCAGTGTTCTTCTTTTCCCCAGTACTAGACTGTCTTTTACTGGTGTTAATGAGCACTGGGGTCCGAGCATGTTTTCTTGAAAAACTATGGACCCATTCTGAAATAAAATCCCCTTGTTGCTGTAGAGATGGCTGGAGAGGTTTGAAGTGGCTGGGGTGGTGTTAACCTCTCTTGTCCTATGTCTCTGTGTTCACTGTGATGAAACCTAATAGAATTTATCCTCCCAACTGTAGAGCAGCTGTGTACCTTATTCCCCTCAGATGAAGGCCTGACTATTGACCTGAAGAATTTCCGGAAACCTGGTGAAAAGACCTTCACCCAAAGAAGCCGCCTGTTTGTGGGCAATCTGCCCCCAGATATTACAGAAGAAGAGATGAGAAAGTTATTTGAGAAGTATGGCAAGGCAGGGGAGGTCTTCATACACAAGGACAAAGGCTTTGGCTTTATCAGGCTGGTGAGTGGCTTGCCACCTTCGGGGTGTTTTTGTGGCAGTGACTCACACCGGAGGAGTATCGCTAATTGGAAGTAGTCGATGTTCAGATATCTTGCTAATTAAGCCTGCTGTTGATTTTAGTAACCTGCAATATGGCTTCTATAAGTGATTTGTCTAGAGCTTATTATGAGAAGGAATTTTAATTCAGGCAGCCTGTGGCAAGATTTATGAGATAGCTGATAAATGTGTTCTGAAGTCAGGTAGTAGAAAACAGAAAGAAAACACAAACGTGATGCTGTTACAGACAAGGTGGACGTCCTTTTTTTGGAAGGGTGTGAACATGGGATTTCTATGAATGTAGGTTGTCATGCAGTGTCACTGGAGTCACGAATGCCCTTGAGGAAGGGGGTCTCTGGATGCTCATGGTGAAGTGTGACTAAGAGGGAGGTAGCTACCAACGTAATGGCTCTCAGACTTCATTGGCTCATGTGCTGCCTTTCTGAAAGCCCCAAGGCAAGTGGATGGAGCATCAGGTTCCCACACCAAAGTTTGGGTCGCTTTGCTGTAGTGTGGCTGCTTGGTAGTGACTTAAATGAGTGGAAAGCTGTGAAACCAGCACAGGATGTCTTTCATGGATTGTCATACGATCAGCATTTCCTTGTACAGTTATCAGACTTGGCCGAGAGTTGAATCTTGATTTTTTTTCCTTTTTTAATTGTTTATTTTTAAAAAATTGCATGCTCTGTAGCCTTAATATGATCATGTTGGAGAGAGATATAATGATCATTTAATTGCTAGGTTCACGGTGGCTGTTGGATTAAGTTCATGTCTGATACTTTCCCTCCACCCCCAAACTCTGTACATGCCTGTTCAGCTAGAGTAGTTGATAACAGAGAATAGCTACCATTTGTTAGGACACTTTTTACCACACTATGGGAGGATTTGTTCCTCTCTGTGAAGTACTTGTTCAAGGGAAATAGGCTGGTGACTGTGACAGGTTCTGTGCTGCACTGAGAGTTTTAATGACTGTGTTTTATCTTCAGGAAACTCGCACTCTGGCTGAGATTGCAAAGGTGGAACTAGACAACATGCCTCTACGTGGGAAGCAGCTAAGAGTGCGTTTTGCATGCCACAGCGCATCACTGACAGTCAGGAACCTGCCTCAGTTTGTGTCCAATGAGCTCCTGGAGGAAGCCTTCTCAGTGTTTGGCCAAGTGGAAAGAGCTGTGGTTATTGTGGATGACAGAGGACGATCCTCTGGGAAAGGCATTGTGGAGTTCTCAGGGAAGCCTGCTGCTAGGAAAGCCCTGGATAGATGTAGTGATGGCTCTTTCCTGCTAACTACGTAAGTGTGGAGGGCAAAAAGTGTTATGCTGGCATGCGTGCAGGTTGATGGGTGACATTGCACTGGCTTGTGGGCAATGTTTCTTAACACCAGAGTGGGACAGATGAGCTCTGGGGCAGGACACGGCTGGTGATTCGCCCAGGGAGAACTTCACTTAGCTTTGTCCCAGCATGAGTGTGTCTGTGCTGAAACTTGGGTCTGAAAACTTTCTCCTGGGAAGCTGCTTGTGGGGTAAGCACATGAAACTTCCTGACAAGCTGTGTCCTGATAAAGCCTTCTGAGGGCACTTAAAGCAGCCTTCAAGAAACAAGAGGTATTTCTGAGACCATCCATATCAGTTGTTGGAGGCGAAGCTCAAGGGTGCAGTCTGGGACACTTCAGAGATGTCTTGGGATGAGACTCTGCTCAGCAGCTTGCGCTGCTGGGGTGGAATGGTGATCCACCACTGTGGGCATGGGATGTGTTGGAGAAGCTGGTCAGACAGATTGGATTGTTGGAGTTTTCACAATAATAAACTTTGCCTTGTGATTGAGTCTCATAAGGCAACAGAGCATGTTCTTGCATAATTATGTGAACTTGCTCAAGTAAACGACTAATTCTAGATGTGTTCCACAGAGCATGGCTTGTTGGTGTAACTATCAAGAGGCAGCCATTTCTGATCCCTTAGAAATAAAAGTTACTATATATCTGGTGTGCATGCACCTAGAGTTTGTGAACAGAATACCTGAAACTGGGGCTGTATTGGTGATTTCTAAAGTAATTTTTTAAGCTTTGTGCTTCTCCCCTCTTTCTTGGAGCCATACACAAGCACGTTCAGTTTCAAAAAGCAAGCATTTTGGTTTTTTAGAGTCTGTTTTTTCTCCTGAAGACTCTTTGTAGATAACCAGCATAGCGTGTGGTGCTCTGCAGGAGGATTGCAACTAGGGAGCTTTTGCCGCTTCCAAAGTTTAGAACTTGAAAGGACCAGGAAAACAAATTTTTAAAAGCAATCATGCAAAACGAATTAGTAGCAGTGTGTGGCTGAGAGCACCTGAGGGGAACATCGGATCTTTTTGTAGCTCTCAGTGTATCAGATTTTGATACCTAGGACAGCAAACCAGTATGTTGCTTATTTCTATTTATCTTGGTTTTGATGAAGTTTGTTCTGGTTTGTCCTAGTAACAGCTAGATAAACTGGTTGGAATTGGCTCACACTGGGAAATACAACTGTTAATAATGGAATGTTGAAGTGAAAAGCTGCATTGTGGATCTTCAGCTGAGGAGAGAGGTTTTTAGCCTCTCGTATCCTGCCTTCTTGCTGAAATCTGGGCACCGCTTGCTGCTTGGCATAGCACGATCACTTCTCCTCCATTTCCCCAGCTCTGGAAACAGGGTTGAAGAGCTAACGAGAAGCTGCAGTGCTGCTTTGTGTGCAGTGATGATGCAGCATTGTCAGTGCTGCGGTGGGGAGCAAATTCACAGATTGGGGATGCTTTTGCTAAATACTTTCCTGTGCGTGCATAAACCAGGTGGCCAGAAGCAAACGTGTTCGGTGTCTGTGTTGTGAAGTGCACCAGTGGATTTCTTGGGGGTACAAATTCAGACAAGGCCCAAAGGGCCCTTACCAAGCACTGCTGCCTGACATTAATGACACGTGGTGGTCTCACCAGGAGAGTGTGACTAAACAGCACAGCCAGCAAGGAGCAGTGTGGTTACTCTGTGCTTTAGGCAGCTAGAAAAATGCACACAGGGATTTGTGCAGCCCCATGGTTGACCATGTAGCAAAGGAGGAAAGGGAGATAAACCAGACTGTAGGGGCTGCAAGACTTCGTGCTGAGCAGATCCTACCAGAGAATGTCAGATTCCAGTTAAGCTGTGAATTTGAACCAATAACTGCAAGTATTCTTTCAGTACAATTTTGGTTTGGATTCAACAAGAATTACAATTAATAGTTCAGCTGCTGTTCTAGAAAGAAAGAAAAAAGTGTTCAAAGTGATTTCTGGTTTCACTCTGGTTGAGATCCTCAACTGATCTGAATTTCTTTGAGCACTGCTAAAAGCAGTTATTTTGTAAATTCAGACCTAGTACACATGCTTTCCTACACTGCAGGCTCATTCATGCATTTTCTTGAAAGCACCTCATCTTTCCTTTACAGATTCCCTCGGCCTGTCACTGTGGAGCCCATGGATCAGTACGATGATGAAGAGGGACTGCCAGAGAAACTAGTCATTAAAAACCAGCAATATCACAAGTACGTGCCTGCCGTGTGACAGGAGATGAGACTACCTGTGGACTAAGATGTTGACTCAGTAAAAGTCTGTTCCAGTTGTTGGAATAAAAAATTATGTCAGTTTGAGATGATGTGAGGTCTTGCTCAGATGAGAAGCTGAAGCAGAGACTTAAGTTACTTCCTCTAAGTATTACAGAAAGTCTGTAGAATAAACAGATTGGAACCCACAGTGAAAAGTTAAGCAATGATGTGATAGCATTAGGACATTGTACAACTCTCCAGGTATAAGGCCATGGTCTTTAAAGGCTTCCCGGTGTCAGTGGGTTATCATAGGATCTGAGCAGTGGGAATTAGTAAACTATGGAAGCTCATGAATTTTTCAAGTTAGGAAGATGAGAGCTTCAGGACCTGGGAAGCTGTATTAAGAACAGTCGTGTGCTCCAGGTGCAGGGGCTGCAGAGATCAGTGAAGTCAACACATTCGTTTGGACAGCGTTCGTTTCTGGAGTGGATCTGTCCATAAGATTGCAGAAGGAATCACAGAATCACAGAACGTTAGGGATTGGAAGGGACCTCAAAAGCTCATCCAGTCCAATCCCCCACTGTTTCTGTGGGGGAATCCAATCCCTGACTGTTTCATTTCTAAATGTCTTTACCCAGAATCTTTTAGTGTCTCACAAATGCAGTGTCACTGCTTGTTATGGAGGAGGACAGGACTTAGTTTCCATGTATAATTAATCCTGCGGAAGGAATCTGCCTAAAATTTCTTCTTTCAGTGAGATGGTTCAAACTGGTATCGGTATCTCAGGCATAGCTACTTGTGAGAAAGTAGAAGACAAAATGGTTCCTTATTTCTAGCCCTAAGGAATGCATTTCTAAGTGTGAAAAGGATCTGCCATTGCATTTAACACACAAATGTATTTCTTTTGGTTCTTCCTTGCTCCGTTGAAGCATTTACTAGGTCTTCCTTTTTTGTCAGGGAGCGTGAGCAGCCACCTCGATTTGCACAGCCTGGCAGCTTTGAGTATGAATACGCCATGCGCTGGAAGGCTCTAATAGAAATGGAGAAGCAGCAGCAGGAACAGGTAGACCGCAACATCAAGGAAGCACGAGAGAAGCTGGAGATGGAAATGGAAGCGGCTCGCCACGAGCACCAAGTGATGCTCATGCGGCAAGGTACGGATCAGAGATAAATACAGTGTCAGCATTGGCCCTGCACCGTCCAGGTGCAGGTTCATCACCTGCTGAGGGTGAGCTGTGCTGTAGCTGTTTGACTTGTAAACCAAGCATGGCAGCAGCAAATGAGTGGAGAGATGTTGCTGTGTTGCTGTAGGCTCTCTCACCTTTATTCTCATGTGTGTTACAATTCTAGTTCAGGAATCGATAAAGAGGCGTCATGGGAGATGAGTTTGGGATTTTTCCTGTCATCTTTTACAGATTTAATGAGACGCCAGGAAGAGCTGAGGAGAATGGAGGAATTGCATAACCAAGAAGTACAAAAACGTAAACAGTTGGAACTCAGGTAAGGGGGCAGGTTATGAAATGCCGTTAATCCGTCATACCGTGGAATGAAACGCTTCTTCAGGGTACCCAACTGTTCAGTGTGACAATTTAATTACTACCTAAAGCATGGCTGTTATTTTCAGCCTTTTTGTTCACAGGCAAAGTGTACATTTGGTTTAAGATGGAAGAGTTAGGAGTTTCTTCCACTGATCAGTACTTGTTATTTTACAGTTCTGTGGCTCAGTTTAGCTCCTTGACTGAGGCAAACAGAAATACCAGAATCTGTACAGTGATTCAGTGCTGTAGATTGGGAAACGCCATTCTAGTCTTCTAGTTTGAGGGGTAACTTAGTCTTAGAGATTTCTCTCTCCATTCCAGCTCTGCCTTGTCTCAGGGTCATTTTGCGAAGCTCCAGGAAGATCTCCAGACTACTTCTGTAACAGAAGGGGCTTGAGAACTGTCTGGCTTGTATGCATTATATTGCAGGTAGTCAGCATGTATTTGGGAGCTGCTGTGTACATAGATTCATTTAGGTTGGAAAAGACCTTTAAGATTAAATCTAGCTGTAAATCTACACTGCCAAGTCCTAAACCATGTCCATAATTGCCACATCTACACTTCTAAATACCTAAAGGGATGGTGACTCCACCACTTCCCTGGGCAGCCCCTTCCAGTGCCTGATAACCCTTGCAGTGAAGAAATTTTTCCCAATATCCAATCTAACCCTCCCCTGGTGCAACTCGAGGCCATTTCCTCTTGTGTTATCACTTTTTACCTGAGAAAAGAGACCGACCCCTGTTGCTTCCCCCTCCTTTCAGAGAGTTATAGAGGGTGATAAGGTTTCCCCTCAGCCTCCTTTTCTCCAGACTATACAACCCCAGTTCCTTCAGCTGCTCCTCACAAGACACACACATGGGTGTGCTCATGTTGGGTTTTGTAATTAACTCCTTAGAACTGGAAATGTTTTGATCTACATCCATGTTTGTGTTTTCTTCGTGAGGTACCTAATATTTTACAGCCTCAGCAAAACAATGTTCTTAAAGTCCTAGATGTCTAAACAAGACCCATTAGGCAGCACCGCAACACTGTGATGCAGTTGTTTGGTGTTGGTTGTGCTGAGTATCCTTAGACCTTTTTTGCAGGCAAGAGGAAGAACGCAGGCGCCGTGAGGAGGAAATGAGAAGGCAGCAAGAAGAGATGATGAGACGCCAGCAGGAAGGCTTCAAAGGGAACTTTGCTGATGCGGTATGAGTGCTTCTACCTTCCCACTACATCTGGACGCTGATGTAGATTTTTGCCCTTCCACAGCACGGGGCTTTCTGTGAATGCTCGACTTGTTGGTTGAGGGACTTCACAGCTTTAGTGCATTCTGCCCTAAGTTATTTGCTCCCTCCAATCTTAATACAATTTAGTCTGGAGAATATAAATACCCTAGTTACTGTCCCACTGCTGATCCTGTACGACCCTTACTAGCTGTATTACTGTTCAGAAGAATATATGCTGACCAGTTTTATTCTAACAGTACCTAAGATGTACTGTCCTGAAGTGCTGCTGCTATCCTGAACTGACCTGTTAGGGTCTTATGCCTGGCACTGTCTTTACTTCTGTAAAGAGCTGTCTTACAATCCATTTCCAGTCCCAGCAGCTTTCTATTGCAGAGGCAGCTGTGGCACTGTCGAGGTGGTTTCATGGCATTAGCGCAACTGGGTGGCAAGTGTTTGTGTCCTAGCAAAAAAACTGGCCCCTAAGCAAAATAGCTAAATAGTGTCAAAGCAAAAGGGCCAAAACAGTGTGACCGACCTAAATGTGTGAAGGTGTGTGGCAGAACTCCTGATTTCTCTAAATAATGATGCCCTCATATGATAAATTAAGGCACTGAGACTACAAATGAAGTGAAAGCTGTTCTCACTGCGGAAAAAGTAGTGCCCTCGCTGAAGTGAGGAGGTGCTTCTAGACTGTGAGGGAGATCTGTGGTGTCCCCCCTGTGCTCTGTTAACCAAAGAGAACTTGAACTCACTCACTGGTGGTTTAATGCAAGTGACCCAGTGCTGCATCTCTTTGTAAGCTTGCATTCTTTTCAACAGGAAGAGCTTAGCTATGCTGAGGAAGTAGCAAAACTAATTCTATTTAATGTGGTACTGCTGCTCAGCAAATCTGTCCATCCAAACGTCGGACACCTCTTTATGCTGCTGTTTGGTAAAATCTATGCACGCAGCTTTACTGCTGGATGTTTCACCACGATTGTGAAAATCAGTCTTTCGGAATAAGATGTTTTAAATAAGATCTGTTTGCTCAGCAGTTACAGGTGAAGGTAGCTCAGATCTTTTGAAATTTACTCTGGGAATGACTCTTCTATTCCGTTTTCCATAGTAAAACCCCAGAGCTCATTGAATTTGTCTAATTACATATTTTAAAAGCCTGAATTTTTATCATTTGAAATGAGTGTCTCTTTTTCCAGAGGGAGCCGCCAGACATGCGAATGGGAAACCCCAGAACTCATTGAATTTGTCTATTTTAAAAGCCTGAATTTTTATCATTTGAAATGAGTGTCTCTTTTTCCAGAGGGAGCCGCCAGACATGCGAATGGGACAGATGGGTATGGGAGGTAAGAGTATTTTGCGACCATCCTTGTTCCTATTCGTCTTCCTTTCCTCCTTTACAAAATCTGTACATTTTTGAATAGTCTTATTTTACTGGCTTCTTACTTAGAAACTCAAGTCATAGTTCTCCAGTCTAGTGACAGGAAATGTAACAGAGTTTGGGTATGAGCAGTACTGAACCCTTGTGACGGACTCCCTTCAGTAAGCAGAAGGCTTGGTTGAAGTTGCTGTCAGACTCGTAGCGTGCTTCCAAAATGTGTACTGATACAGAAACTGGTACAACGTGTAGTGCTGGAGCTTGTGGTTGGGAAACAATCTCGATTACTCTCATTTCTGTATTTTGACTGCATGATTAGTGTTAGCTAACTAGAGTTAGGCCACACGTGCAAGAGCAAGTGGAAAGGCGATGGGGGCTTAGGGGTTAGTGAAGGTGGTGAGTGTCAGAGCCTGCTGTGGTTTCAAATAATACTGGAATGCAAGAGCAGTTGGAATGCAGAGTCAGTCTTGACCTGATAGTGCAAAGCTAGTTAATAGACTAGGACTCTGACCCTGAACATAACTGCAGGGAGCTTACCCGGTGTTCTGTGGCTCTGGAGCGATGAGTCGACCCCAGTCACTGTGTCTGCCAGGACTATTCTTCAGTTTTCTTTTCCAGGTACCATTGGCATGAACAATAGAGGAGCTATGGGTGGTACCAACGTCCCAGCTGCTGCACCTCCTGCGACTGGTCCTGGAGCTATGATACCTGATGGAGCCATGGGAATGGTAATGTATCTCCATTTGCCCACTGCTTTTACATGCACGTTATGTTGTTTCCGTTGTTAAACACTGTGCTGCTCAAGTTGAAGCTTGCCTACCTGGACCTGTTGTTTAACTCCTCTGAAATCTTTAGAAGTTAATCTTACCGTGATACCAGTTGGTCATTTTCAGGGGATTGAGTGAAATCTGGTAACAACTTGCTTGACTTCCAAGATAGCTGCTACCTAAACATTTCTTAGATCTTAGCCATAATATATGGCAATTTTTCACATTTTTGTTGAATGAGAGTGTTTTGAGAATAGATTCTTGCAGGCATTAAGCCGAGCTCTCAATGTTTTGTCCATCACCAGTTTTTAAAACAATTATCTCCTGTGCTAAAAGGCTGAAATAAGCATGGTAATAGTGAGTATGCTAAAATGAGTTCAGCTAATTTGCACAGGAGGTAAAGAGCAGAGAATCAGAGGAGGTGACGTTTATTTGCCTTTTCTAAATGTTTATATTTCATTGAGTTTTAAACTTTGCTGCAGAGCTTTACAGTACGCCATGGCTTCTGTGGCATCTGTCATTCCTCTGTCATCCAGAGGGTCGATCCTCTCTCGGTGCCAGCACTTCCAGTCAGTGTCAGAGACAGCAGCAGCCGTAGTCAAGTTTGTCCTGAAAGTTCATCTTCCTTTAGCAGTTTATATCAGTTGGTCTAATAAACAATTTTCCTGCAAACTTTCCTATTTAGACTTCTTGATCTATTCTGACTGCCACGTCACAGACTTTTTTTGTCACAAAGAACAGTTTTATTTGGCTATAAGCTTTTGTACCTCAGGGGTAGGGACAGTGGAGTGTCTGAGGCTAAGGGAATGTGTACTACGCAGGGTAATTAAGAGTGAAGATGAGAGGAATGGAAAGGGGAGGTGAGTTCAGATCATTATGATTCAATAATACCATTTAGACTGGGAAGCAGTAAGTTGTTTCTCTAATGGCCAGAAGTGTGTATAGTCTTTTTGGAAACTATCCTGGCTTTAGGAGTCACTGAGCCTGTGGATTCCAGCTTTTTATCCATGTAGGAAGCAGTCACTTTGCATGTTTGCTCCCGCTGCTTGGAGAGCTTGCAGTGACCTTCCCTGTGATGTCTTACAGGAAAAGTTCATAATTACTCCAAATTTTTCATCTGTAGGGAAGGGAAAAGGGGAGGAGGAGGAGTGCTGTGTTACTGCGAGTGCCTCCTCTGTACTGCCAGTGAAGTGGGCATTGAGAGGCCCTGGGACCTCCCCATTGGCAATTTTAGTGGTTTGGGTCTGTGTTGTGTAGAAACGGGCAATACCATGGAGTCGTATACAGTACTGACACCAACTGTGGTGTGTGTTACGCTGCATGTGTACGTATCTCGGATGTAAACCTGTGAACAGAGACGAAATGGGACCCAGGAGCCTGGTGTAAAGCAGCCATGCTTAGCCCCTCTCTGGGGAGTAGAAAGAGGCCAGTGGTTGCCTCCAGTACCTTCCCCAAAGGATGTGCCATGTCTGTGCTGAGGATGTTCAAGCAGTGGAGCAGGTTGCCCAGAGTGGCTGTGCAGTCTATGTTGAGGATGTTCAAGCAGCGGAGCAGGTTGCCCAGAGTGGCTGTGCAGTCTTCATCCGTGGGTGTTTACAAGGCCTGACTGGATAAAGCTGTAACTGAGCTGGTCTGACCTCATAGCCAGCTCCACTTGGAGCTGGAGGGAATCACAGAATCCCAGAACGTCAGGGATTGGAAGAGACCTCCAAAGCTCATCCAGTCCAATCCCCCTGCCGGAGCAGGAACACCCAGATGAGGTTACACAGGAAGGCGTCCAGGCGGGTTTTGAATGTCTGCAGAGAAGGAGACTCCACAACCTCTCTGGGCAGCCTGGGCCAGGGCTCTGTCACCCTCACTGAGAAGAAGTTTCTTCTCCAATTGAAGTGGAACCTCCTGTGTTCCAGTTTGTGTCCGTTACCCCTTGTCCTATCATTGTTTGTCACCGAGAAGAGCCTGGCTCCATCCTCGTGACACT